TTCTCTCTCTCTGCCTACGGTTTTACCGGGCAGTTCTGTTTGTGACGATATATATATATATAGCCTCCTGATGAGTCGGTGAAACTCCGACGAAACAGTTTGTCACAGCCCCTCGTTTGTTGTCCTCTTCTCTCTCTCTGCCTATGGTTTACCGGGCAGTTCTGTTTGTGACGATATATATATATATATATAGAGAGAGAGAGAGAGATGGTGGGACTTGCAAGGCCTTGCTTTTGCATTCAATGACAATCCCTTTCTATTATTCCTGTATGAAAGACAGACGTTGTTTTTTTTTGTTGTGCACTTTGTGCGTTCGTGGGCGTGACGGTGTCGTCCTCCGGGATATTCGGAAACCTGTATGCGCCAAATGATGCAATCACATCAATGGATTTATCCCGTGACTGCGTTTTTATTGAATGGAGTACGAATTTCTTTTGATTCAATATTTGCCTTTTTACCTTTTCGGTCGAATGGAGTACAACTGTGCGTGCTATGGAAGAATCGCTAATCTTTTTTTTTTTTTTTTTTTCCTTTTCTTTTTTTTTTCCACCTTTTCGTGGAATGGAGTACAAGCAGATCATTTTAAAAATGTAAGAATCACTAATCTTCATCTTTTTTTTTGTTGTTGTTTTCTTTTCCTTTTCTTCAATCACCTTTTTTGTCGAATGGAGTACGAACTGATCATTGGAAGGATGAGTTTTTCACCTTTTTCAACCAGTGACGTTTTTCGTTGAATCACCAACAAGCTGAAAAAATTTCTGAATCGCTACGTCGTCTTCTTTTCTTTTTTTCCTATTTTTTTCACCTTTTTCGTCGAATGGAGTACAAGCTGATCATTGCAAGAACGACATGACAGATAGCAGGTGGAAAAAGCTAAGCATTTCAACAAGCGTCTCCATCCTCCGCCTTCCCCCTCCCTCCTCCTCCTTCCTCTTCAACTCCACTCGTCCTCCTCCCGTCATTCTTCTCCTCCATCCTCCGGCTTCCCCCTCCCTCCTCCTCCTTCCTCTTCGACTCCACTTGTCCTCCTCCCTTCACCTCTTCGACTCCACTAGTCGTCCTCCCTTCATTCTCCTCCTCCAACCTCCGCCTCCCCTCCGACCTCTCTCCCACGATGGTATCCTCTTTCCTCCTCCTCTCTCATCCTCGTCAGTTAGGTGCCGATCCTCATCGTGGCGATTCTTCATCATAAGCTGACAAAATTGGAGAATCAATAATCTTCTTCTTTTTTTTGTTACTTTTCTTTTCCACATTTTTCGTTTTCGGCGAAAGGAGTAAAAGCTTAAGCAAAAATGGGGTACAAGCTGATCATAGGAAGAATCACTTCTTCAACTATTTCACAGTTTTCGTCCAATGGAGTAAAAGCTGAAAAAAAAATCAGAACCGGATGCATTCCAAATCTTGGCGAATGGCAAATGGTGCAACTGTGCCCTTATCCTTTCCATAATATGTCAGTAACACAAGCGATGAGCTACCAGATTTGTATTAGTACAGAAAGTTATGCACATTCCAAATCTTGGCGAATGACAAGTTTTTAAAAGAGAACGTTTTTTTTTTTTTCTTAATCGTTTTCCGCATTCCACTTTCGATGTTTGTCTTCTATGCGTGGAACACACACACACACGCACACACACACACACACACACACACACACACACACACACACACACACACACACACACACACACACAGCGACCAAATGAAATCACACGAAAAAAAAAAACACCGAATATCAAAGGCTCTTGCCAAAGAAAGCCACATGATGATGATTACAGTTGTTACCTACAAACAGCGGACGCGTATTACATCTATCATGATGTTAACTTCTCTGCTACTCTCCCAACCTCTCAACACACATCCTGCTACTCTCTCTCTCCCTCTCACCCTGTCTGCCCACAGTCCTCTTCGCAGGTCACGTCGTCTTGAACCACTTGTCGGCAGTTGCTCCTTCCCTCCTAAGTGTCGCCATTGTTGGCGTCGTCGTCGTTGTCGGTCGGTGTGTCGTCATCGGTCGTCAGTGGTGAATGCAGGTATCCATTGGCAGGAGGGGGATTGGATCACGAATCCACATGGCCGTACGTCTCAGCGATCGCGGCCCATCCTTGCGGACCGTGACTCGGGTCCATTCCCCATCCGCCATTGACCTGTTGGGCGGCGACAGTGTTTGTGCCCCAGCCACCACTTCCGGTCTGTGAAGCAACCGTCCCCTGCACTGCTGGCATGGCCGATGCCGATGACGGGACCATTGTGGCACCGGGAACACCCTGTGCAGCAACGGTGCCGCCGACCTGCCCGGTCGTCCGCGCTGTTGCGTTGCTGCTATTCCCGCCGTCCACCATAGGGAAAACTCTCTCTCTCTCTCTAACTCTCTCTCTCTCTCTCTCTCCTGTCTCTTATACACATCTAGATGTGTATAAGAGACAGCTCCAAAAGAGAGAGCCCTGGGGGTTGCTTCATG